CATTCGGCAATGGACAGGGGAGATGTGACTTCGGATTGATCGGAGCTGACGTATACGCCTGGTGGGGGAGGCGAAGAAGGGGTGGAGGGAAACATGATCCAGTATTTTGAGCCGCGGAGAACGGCGTTCCAGGCGGAGGTGGCGTTGGGATCTTTGTGATAGGTTGAGCCTGAGCGGGCGGGGCCAATGATAAGCCATTTGTCGTCGGGACGGTTGGGTCCAAAGACCTGGAAGAGATCTTCGCCGAAACAGGAGGGGATTTGGTAGGGTGGGGCGGAGCTGGCTGGGGGAGTGGAGAGGTTCATTTTGGAGAGGAAGTCGCGGTCGAAGAGGTAGAGGGGAGATTCGTCGGCGCTGTGGTTCATGTATTGGATGTAGGTTTTGAGAGACCAGTCGACGGCTTCGGCACGGAATTTGATGTCGCTGTATTGGTGGAGGAGCGCTTCGGTGTCCCAGGAATGATAGGCGGGCCATTCTTTCACTGGGGCAGTGAGGATGAAGGGTTTGTCGCTCCAGGTTGAGGTGAATTCTTCGGGGGTCAGGTTTTCGAGGCGGGGAATTTGGTTCTTGAGAGGGATGTTGGTTGTGTAAGGGGTTAGTGGGGTGTGGGTGCAGAGAAATGGTCGGTATAAGACGTCGGAGAAGACATTGTTACATTGGACTTTTGAGAGTTGGCTTTCTTCTATGTTGAGGAATGTTGCACGCCATGAACCTCGCCATTCAAAGGTACCTGATTTGGATACTGGGGACCTACGTTTTGGTTAGCAGTCAAATTAGGTGAAGATTGGTAGCACATGAGTGCAGATAATTGTGGTTTAAGAGTGACATGTATATTTTAGTTGCTCTATATGATTTCTCCAGCTGAAGGGTTTGGTATATTTGTAGAATGTCACTTGATATGTTGTAATCTCCCTGACTGTGAATATTCGAATCTTCAAAGTATCACTTGATGTGTTGGAGCCTTCGATCGCTAAGTAATTTCTATGGATATAGAATGTCCCAACTACATGAATGGTGAATAAATCCCACTATTGCTTCGATAGAAAATACAAATGATCCTTTCTCGTTTCCAAACTAGCCAATAAGTAGGAGTTTATGAAAATCATTCCCCTGCTCGAAATGTGACAAAGAGTCATCTTTTTGAATATCTAAACGCGAGTAATTTCAAAGGAATGACTCCTATTGTCTTTCTCTACCATGACTCCAACCTCCCAAAGCAGAAATGACGTCTCAAAGGTTTGATACGATTCAATAAAACAAAATGAAAAAGAGAATCAAAATTACTCACTCAATAAATACAGGTTTCCAAAGTTCCTCCGATCGAGTGAATGCATATAAGAATTTGCAAGTTGAACCCAGCAAGGCCAACAATTCAGGATCCAAAGATTCTAATAATATGGCCACAACTTCATCCGGCAAAATCTGAAAAGACCCAATCGCGTAACGAGCATTGCTGTTGGCTGTATATTGATTTCCTGAAGGCTTGACACCTAACGGATGAGGTGGGATGGATACAGATGACTCTTCGATCTCTGCTGACTCGAATACTGGTATAGTATTGCTATGGCCACTAGGCTGGATTGGAGTTGCAAAATCTAGACTGGATGCCGATTTCATGGTTGATATCAAAGTTTGGAAGGGGAAGTAAAGGTAAGAGGAAGGGGAAGAAGAGAGAAAATCAATATGCAAGTTGAGGTGTTCAGTAAAATTGTGTACGAGGTTTATGTATGGGTATGAAGTAGATGAGGAGGTGAAGAAAGATAAAGATAAGGAGTGAATTATATTTTTAATTTTTTTACAATCGAATGTATATAATATATATTTTTTCTCTTCGCCATGCTGTGAGTGGTCCGTGGAGCAAAAAAGATGGAGGGGGTGGATCGCCACTTTAACAGTTTGAAGGTGGCTGATGAAGTGGCACTGCACTGTACCTAGGTAGGTACCTACCTACTCCAGCTGTCTGAGACTGTTTAACAGATGTGGCTTTTTACAATATTTGATGGTTCCAAGGTTATCTTCTACCTAGAGATATTTGCAGGTGTACAGTAGTAACTATTGAATAACGTTTATTAGTTGTCCACAAGTCAATCTTGGAATTCATTCATTCGTCATTATTCAAGAGTATCGATCTCTAGATAGTCCTTAACCTTCCTCTAGTTCAGACCTAAAACGATACCCAAATAGGAAATAAGTCAGAGTCCCCTTTACAAAAATCCGAAACAAACGAATACAAACGAATATAAAGACTATTCATTGGATGAACCTTTTTCAACAATTTTTGGAATACTTGCTTTGTGTGTACCTAATCGGTAGGTACTTCCCAATCCAGCCTGATTACAGTAGTGTTTGCTTTTTTTGGAATTCCTATTATCTATTACTTACCTTGATGCACATCTACTTATTACTTCACTACTGGTGACTGGCTCGAGACTGGCTCAAAACTAATAGTAGCGGGACAAAAAAAATAAGCGAGAGTTTCCCCAAAAAACTTTTTATAATATCAAAGCCCTCCTCTTCTTCCCCTTCCTTTTCTTTTCTCTCCAAATCACAACTTCTACAAACACAAGCAAACTATCAAAACCACTAGATATACATAATACTCTCGTTCTCGGGAGTTGTTATCTAGTTTTCCCACCCCAAATAATTAAGAGCTTCACGTCGCAGTCTCTTTAAGAGTACTTTGCGCACTTTTTCACCCCACCTCCACCTACCAACCTTATCATTTTCTAGATTTCAAGCAAGAGCTTGTAATCTAGATTTTACTTCAACAACCCGCAAATATGGCTTCCGCTGATAAGGGTCTCGAGGAGATCCAAGAGGGTGAGTTACACTGATATTCTGAAGATGTCTTGAAGATGGATCCCACAAGATCGCATTGTGGGAAAGAAAGAAAAAAAAATCATTCAAGAGGAATAAGAGGACTGACCACTTTTGTTTCTTGCAGGACAAATCGAGTCCAACTATGACGAGACTGTCGACTCTTTCGATACCATGAACTTGAAGCCAGAGCTTCTCCGAGGTAGGATTGAAATCAAATCCATAAACAAACATATTTGGAGGGCTAAATTTAACATGGAATTACAGGTGTCTACGCTTATGGTTTCGAGCGTCCATCTGCTATCCAACAACGTGCTATTATGCCAGTCATCAAGGGTGAGTTCATCGAATATGCGACAGTTGTTCAGCATATCTAATACATTACAAAAGGCCATGACGTTATTGCCCAGGCTCAATCTGGTACCGGAAAGACCGCCACTTTCTCCATCTCCGTCCTCCAAAAGCTTGACCCCAACGTTAAGCAATGCCAGGCTTTGATCCTTGCCCCAACCCGTGAGTTGGCTCAACAAATCCAAAAGGTCGTTGTCGCCATCGGTGACTTCATGAACGTTGAGTGCCACGCATGCATTGGTGGTACCAGTGTTCGTGATGACATGAAGGCCCTTCAAGATGGTCCTCAAGTCGTTGTTGGTACCCCAGGTCGTGTCCACGACATGATCCAAAGACGTTTCTTGAAGACCGACTCCATGAAGATGTTCGTTCTTGACGAGGCCGATGAGATGCTTTCCGTAAGTCTAAAATCGTTCAGTTTTACTCGAGAACAATTTCACTAACAACTCTTGAAGCGTGGTTTCACCGAGCAAATCTATGACATCTTCCAACTCCTTCCTCAATCCACCCAAGTTGTTCTCCTCTCCGCCACCATGCCACAAGACGTCCTTGAGGTCACCACCAAGTTCATGCGTGACCCCGTCCGTATCTTGGTTAAGAAGGCCGAACTTACCCTCGAAGGTATTAAGCAATTCTACATCGCCGTTGAGAAGGAAGACTGGAAGTTGGACACTCTTTCCGATTTGTACGAGACCGTCACCATCACACAAGCAGTCATCTTCTGCAACACCAGAAGAAAGGTCGACTGGTTGACCGACAAGCTCACTGCTCGTGATTTCACCGTCTCCGCCATGCACGGTGACATGGACCAAGGTCAACGTGACTTGATTATGAAGGAGTTCCGTTCCGGTTCATCCCGTGTCTTGATCGCCACTGATCTTTTGGCTCGTGGTATCGATGTTCAGCAAGTTTCCTTGGTCATCAACTACGATCTCCCAGCCAACCGTGAGAACTACATTCATCGTATCGGTCGTGGAGGACGTTTCGGACGTAAGGGTGTTGCCATCAACTTCGTCACCGCTGATGATGTCCGCATGATGAGAGAAATCGAGCAGTTCTACAGCACTCAAATCGAGGAGATGCCAATGAACGTTGCTGATCTCATCTAAGCTTAATTTTCTTTTAATATACAATTTGGTAAATCACGAGTTCTCGGGCGTGAATGTCTATAAAAGGACCACAGCATCGAAACCCCCTTTGTAAGGGCAGTGATAGTGAGCGTAGCTGGTTCGCCCGGCGCGTGAGGATTTGGTCAATGGGTAGCATAAAAGTTGCTGCATTGGTTCCTGCAGCGGGATTATTTCTTGCGTATTTTATGGCATTAGAGGTTTGGGGGGTTCTTCTTTGCTTTTCAGTCTCTGTATTTAGGGATTCCTCATCGGTTGTCTTACGACCTCTATGTCTACTCAGATCTACCTACAGTTGGCTCAAAACTGGTCCATTCGATGTAGTACAATTGATGATAGATGCTGAGATCATTTTCCATAGATCCCGGCAAAAACAAGAATAAAAATGAATTAAAAAATAGTCAAATATTTCAGTGACGTCTGCATGTTTTCCTTTTAGAGTTATTCATTCATAACATCATAGTAACTCATTTTTCCAATCGTGTTGTTGTCACAAGTGCAGGCGGCGAGCTCGCTAAGCTGAGTAGGAACTGGGAAGAAGCTCACGTCGACCTTCACCTTTCATCGACACGCCATCATCCATTTTCTTACGTATAATACTCATGGTTCTTATTTAGCACTGAGCGCAGTAGGTTTACTATTATCACATCGTCTATTGATTTGGCATCTCATCTCTCTTTAATAAGTCATTCCTGTGTTTTTACTATGGAATCGGTATCCGCGAAGTCACCTCTCAAACGTGTTGGTTTGAGTCAAGGAGCTACAAATGGCATCCAAAGCATAGTCCATTTACAATTCCGAAAGGAACATCGTTCTCTCTTGACCCTCTTTGAGGATTTGAAAATTAAGATAGATAAGACATCTGCAGATGCAGAACGACGCTTTGAGGAATCACAAAAACAACTGAAGGATACCGAGAATCGATTGGAGAAGTTAGAAAATGAGTGGAGAGATTTGATGCAGAGGAATCGCAAGTGGGAGGATGAAGTGCGGAGTTTGAAGGAGAAGATGGAGAGGTTGAGTGGGCTGATGAGTGAGTTTTTGCTGCGGATAGAGTTTCGAATGTGTGAGAGGAACTGATGAGAATAGGTTTACAAGATGCATCTGCAGAGCTGATTCTTGCTCGTGGCGGTGATACAGAGTTGCGAAAGGATCAGTTGTCAGCCGAAACTACTTTGTCTGGTCATGGTGCGGATGCCGCGGATCTGCAGCAGTTGACGGAGCGACCTACCATGATCCCTCCTCGAGGAACTATCGATGCGCGTGAGCAACGTACGTCTGCATCCACTGCAGAGCAACGCCAAACAGTTTCACAATCCGTTTCAGTCTTGTCGGCAGAAATTGATGTATCTCTTAGTGATCGCAATCCTCGTACGCCAAACAGACGTCAATCAAGCCAAGCAATATCACCACTCACGCATGATGGTCCAATGAGTCCACCCCCTCCCCCTCGACTACCACTCGCAGCTACTACACCGACAAATAAGAAAATTCCCCCACTATCAAGCAAATCATTACCAAATGCAAAATCCCGCAAAGCTGCCCATCCCCCTCCATGGATCAATATCTCGCAGACCCCGGATCAAACCATCGAAGCCTATCTAGCTCTCGCAACAGAATATAACAAGGCTATTAAATCACGCAAATCTCGATTCGAGTTCATCGCTAGATTTATCAAAGGATTGCTAAAGGAAAATGATCGCGAAGTCTTGCTCAAGCAGCTGCAGAAGAAATTCCAGTCCCGAACTACGAAGGATGGTTTCGTGGAGGTTATGTGTGGATTTTCTGATGTGGGAGAGGGATTAGTGGATGCTGGATTGATTGGTGGAGTTGAAGGTACGAGTGGGAAGAGAGGTGCTCATGATGCCGGTATGGATCATGGAGGAATGGATACACTACACCAGAAGAGAAGAAAGACTTTGGAATCTCAAACGTCGAATGATGATGAGTTGTGAAATGTCTGTCTGCTTGCTGTGCTTCTTTGAAGAGAATGCTGGCTTGGGATGGGGGTATCTACTTTGTGGATGTGGGAAGATGATAGCAGTGTTATTGAATGTCAAAGTTGCATGCTCGGATGTTATACAGAGAAAATAATGGCTTGCATATTGAAGAAGTAGCTAATACATGGAACTGGAGCTTGAGATACTCGAAGGTAATAGCATCTACGCTTTGTCTCGCTGATATTACCATACAAATCTGGAATAATGTATGCTTACTTGTATGTAATACCTCATTCCTTACTGTGAAGAGATATAACCTAGATCCGTGTCACTTCGACTACTTGAGGTATAATATCTTGAAATTTAGCTTTGAGACTGAAATCTAAATATCCCTATTCTCCAAGATAGAATCAATGTGTAAACTATAGACATTGTAGATCACATAAACACACATCTATTGCATTACGCGACTTGACTTTTAGGCCGGTGAGTTGAATCATCCTCAACTCTTCATTATTCATCGGCTTGGGCAGCACTGCTTTCCCCGCCCCCCTGATAACGCCTCGTTTAATCCTCATTCTCAATCATTTCCTTCCCAAAGAAATCGTACAGGGCGATTTGAACCAAACCATGTCCCGTCCCGTCCCGTCCCGTCCTATCGTTCCATATCCTATATCCATTTAACCCACCCTATCCCATTCACAATCATGAAGGGCCATCCTCAGGTAACTCCTCAATTACCCCCCGTACAATCTCCATCAACTCATCCACATCCGGTCTCTCACTAGGTTCCACCTTCAAACATTTCCGCACCACCTCCCGTATACTTTCGCTAATACCACTATCTTCACTTTGTCCCGTCTGGTTCGTAGTCTTCTTCTTTCCACCAGCTCCTTCGTCGGGAAATCGCCAATCGCCTCCTAGTACGCAAATACTTAGACTTCCTCCTGTCTCGTCGCTGCGCATTTCGAAAGGTGATTTTCCGACAAGACATGCGTATAATGTGCAACCTAGTGACCAAATGTCGACTTTGGTGTCGATAGTACTGCCGGTTTTCACATCGAAGAGTTCGGGAGCGCGATAAGGCATGGTGGAGTGCTCAGCTGCTTGGTCTTGTACTGCTAGGGCGAGTGATCGGGATGTTATAGGTGTGGGTGAGGGAGCTAGGGATCCGAGATCCATTAAAATGGGTTGGACGCCGTCGTCGTCAATCATGATATTTCCTATTCTGGTGTTAGATAGCTTCACGCATTGGATTCTCCATGTAACATACCTGGTTTAATATCTCTATGCGCATATGCTCTAGCTCCTCCTGGCGCAATACCCTCTTGACTTATTGTAACTTCCCCGTCTATTAGCGGTTCCTGCTGTTCACTATCCTCATCGGTTTCTCTCCCTCTCTGTCTTCCCCTCCTCGATTCGACTTCTTCTTCAGCTTCCTGGTCTGCCCGCGCCGCATCCGCCCTGACTTTCTTCGCCTTATTCACACTATTCGCACCGCCTGGTCCGCCCTTAACCTTATATTGATGCATCGCCTTCAGAGCATTCAAAACTCCCAAAAACAAAACCATCAGTCTCTTCTCCGGAAACTTCGTATGGTTCACCAGATTCGCATTGATGATATCTTGTAAATTTCCGCGTCGATAATATGGTAGCAGGATATACACCGTCTTGGCTCCGGGATCTGATCGATCCGCAGAAACACAGTAATCCACGCTGTGGATGATATTTGGATGCGGCGAGAAGAGCGCATAGGCTTCTACTTCTTTCATGGCGAGCGCCACGGATTCTTGCCCAAATGGACATCGGATCTTCTTCACGGCGTAGGTATTGTCACTGCTGGTATCTTGGACGAGGTACACGTAGGAAAATCCGCCCTCGCCCAGTAATCGTAAGATCTTGAAACTGCGATTATTTATTTTGAGTTGCGGAGAGCCCGGGAAACAACTCATACAGTTTGTGAGGGTATATAATAAATCGAGAAAATACTGAGCCATTTTGAACTAGGAAATTGGGAGGTTGGACGAGTTGTGAGTATTTGGCTCGGAGGTTTGAGAGGGTGCGAGCTGCTATAGCTCTTGCGCGCGCAAAGTGGTATGTTTCGTATCTTTGTGGGGGTATTAATGAGATTGTTGCGCATGTGGCAATAGTGATGCAGGAACTTGGCAATGCGAGTTCTTAGATTGATTATGAGGATTTGATCGAGGTAATTGAAGTGTGTTGCTAGGGAGAGGTGTCTTTACTTCCTACGTACGGTTTATTGTTAACAAGGGACGGCTGAGTAAGCCACGGTATTAGCCACAATATATATTTAGATTTTGATCAATGAAGAACAAAATGTCGTTACTAGAACTGCAATCTGGAATCTGGGTGTATTTAAATCATTGCTTAACTGAAGGCATGCCTTGTTATCTTCTCAGTACATCTCGTTTCTACATATGTCTATTGAAGATGGTTCATGCGGTGCCAGTCAGTTAACAGTGCTCCAGTGAGCAGCAAAGCTTTCAATCTGGGGCATACTCAGCATTTCGCGGAGGGAATTGAAAAGACATATCAAACTATACAAGATGTAATCACATCTATCTCATAATCACGAAGCTTAGGGACAATACACTCTTCCAATGAGGTCCTATAAGAACTCAATGGCCATTCAAGGTTCGCATGAGAGATTCATCATCAACCTTTCACTCAGCCTATCATTTTGAACGCCCGCATATTGCACCCCATCGATCTCGCTGATCTCGTTATTGTTGTCGAATTAGAGAGGGTTGGCCAGCTCTCAGTTGCTTTCGATGATGAGATACCGTTCAGGGTAATCGATTGAGAGCTTTCCCTGGAGGGTAACTGGGAATATATAGGAAGGCCCTGCTGTTGCTGTCTGTGGTAAGTGTGAGGTAAGAGTGGTCATCGCGATGATGTCTAGAATAACCATAAGTGTGGTGGAGGAAAGGCGGATTCTGTCATGGCTTAAGATCCTGCCTCGATTCATCATCATCTATGTACGATGGAATCAACAATGTGGAGCCGGTATTAAGTTTTGTATATTTCATCGCATAAATGCAGCTATAAATGTTTATATCTGAGGCTTAGTTGACGATTTGAATGTGGTATCGAGTTTCTTTTGGCCTGTGAAATTAGTTACATGCATGAAGCCGTCGGAATAGGTCACAGGGTCCTTTGTAACACAAGCCAGAGAAAACTGGTACTACAGAAATAAACAGAAGCTCACAAAAGCCTATCGTCGTTTGCAAATTGGAGGGTTTCCTGCACCTTTTCAAGGCAGTGAGCGGCGCAGCGAAAAATGATTGGCCCTGCATGCGGGGTCATAGGCGGCTAAATCCTGCATGATTAAATACAAAATCAGCTCCAAAGTACGACTTGCATTCACAAAAAGCAAATTTTAAACTTGCACTGTCACTCGATACGAGGAATAGGCTTCCTGTTCGCGAAAATACAAACGAGTTATCCGACTGTATTTCAAGCACGCCCTGTTACGAGAACAATAGCCCGATTCCAGCAGCTCAGTCCCACGATCACATACTTTCCACTCAACTTTCATGAGGAATATCAAAAGCCAGGCATCTTTGCTTTAGTCCTGGCCATTCTCTCTGGCCCTTTTTCATCACATATGGCTCTCAACAAAGACGACCATGAGTCAGTAGCCGATCTTGATTCCAATGCCTCTACCATCTACACACCCCCTGCTACCATCCACACACCTCCATCTACCATCATCGGCGATGGTAACCGCGAGGACCAAGGCGATCAATGCTCTCACCACTCAAGCTCAGTCCCACGGCCTAATTACACCTACCTGATCCGCGCCTCCTCGTCTGGGAGACTCCTGACTTTAGACTCTGGGCGCGTTATCTTAGCCAAACCAGGCGATAACCGTGGCTCTAGCATCCACGTGAGTATAAAATCCCTAGACAATAAGCTATCTCGGCCCGTATTTTCACTCGGGTTATACTGAAAATTTCCGCTCAATAGTGGAAATGCACCGAGACCAATGGATGGCTCCATTTTCAGAATGCCGCTTCCGGTTGCTTTATCGGCCATAATTTCTGGGGCAATATACTTTGCACTGTATATTGGGCCAAAGAATGGGAGAGATTCAGTGTAAAGCCTACACCAGACGGTGGATATTATTTGATGATGCCGCATTGGTCGAGGCTATGGAAAGTTGGGATGAGGGGGGATTATCTAGCAAAGCTTGGGGAGGGGGAATCTGGAGACTCCGTGAATACTGGAGAGGGGGAGGGACAGATAATTGTCTGGGAGTTTATTGAGGTTTAGGCACGGCGTACTATGCTATCCAGTGATGTAAGTCCTGTGAGGATTGGCAACTGCTGTAGGATACTTTCTAGAGAATGATACGTCTGATTAGCGGTAAATACGCATCGAGATAGCGAAAGGCACAGATTGTAGATGGAGACTTCTAGACTTGTGTGCATATAAACCACTAGTCCCGGGTCTGATTTTCTCCGGGGAAAAAAGACAAAAATCACGGGGGAGTTAAACACACTCGAAAGTCGACTTTGGGTAACAATCTATATGAATAATTAATTACAACGCTTTCCATATAAACTTTTAAATACAACATGACGAACACGCAATTAATTATCTCTACACCCGAGGATAAGAACCTCGCCCCAAAACTTATGATCGCTAAAATGCCCACCATGCCAAGAACGCCTTCGCTTTGCAATCAATTACCATCCATATATACCATCAAAATTCGATATCAGCTTCTATTGTTTCCATCAGGCTCAGCGAAAGCCGATCCATTCAATTCGTGTACCTGCGTATTGCCAACCTCGTGCGCCTCATATCCATACCCATGGCCCATCTCATGTGGAATGTTAGATCCAGGCGAAGGTGAGAGAGAAGCGACTTGGTCCATTTTCATCTGGGAAGTCGCGTAGGAATTATCTTGCTGTGGCGCAGTATCGTATTTCCTCCGCCTCTTCATGAAAAATATAGTTCCAATAAGAGCAGCAATGGCAGCTACACCAACGGCGATACCGACAGCAATACCGATCTTTGCTCCGGTGCTAAGTCCTGAACTACTGCTACTATCACTAGTTGTGAGCGAAGAAAAGGCCGATATGGATGTGGCTACAGCTCCAGATGAACTGGGAGTAGAGCCAGAGGCTGCCGTTTCGGATTTGGAAGCTGATCCAGATGTCGAACTCGTACTAGCACCCGAACTGAAAGCGGTCACTGTCGGAACTGCAGAATTGCCATCGAAATTATATCCATTGATCTGAACAGCCTGAACCGGATGGTCTCTATCCAACACGCCAGTGAGTGTCGTATATCCATCTGCGGCGGGTGTCCAAATACTAACATATGTAATCGTAGCTCCGGAAGTGATGGTCGATGTGCATTGGCCGGGAAACGGTTGTGACATTATAGCCGATAGAGCGTAACCGCTAGGGCAACATCCACTCAGTGTAGAACCTGAGTTTACAACGGTGGTAACGGCTACGGTATATGCTTCCGGACATAGAAATGGTCCTAGTGAGATGGTCGTTGACGCAGAGGTTACTTGATTCCACCACGATCTTGCTTCAGAAGGCCAGCATCTCGTCGCGAATTTCTCGGCATTATTGTTAGGGTCGTAGGCGTAGATAACTGTGAGATTATTGGGAGAATACAATTCGGTTGTGCATTTAGGTATAAGGGGATAAACAGTAGTTAAAGGTATCCAAGTAGTCACCGCACCGGCTGGACCTTCAGCAGCTGGGTAACGCGAAGTTGGAGCAGACATTGATGATTAGCTTCACTAGATATTGCGCGAAGGAAAGTAAAAAGCGGTCGCAAGAAATCTAGAAAATGCAGGTCGCTGGTGATCTGATGCATTTACGAAATAGAGTGCGCTACTGGCCACTACCACCCTCATAACTCTCTTTGGACCCCTGTATCCACATAGGGTTTTTGAGTCTCCATAGCCAATTCGTGATACGCTGTAGTTAGATGGCGCGACAGTAAACTGTTGAACTCCTTGCGCCAAGTATACACGTCTGAGTGGAAGGATTGTTATCTTGTGGGGCCATGCTCCTAGGTAAGCTTAAATGGGGGCCGCCTTGGGTGTTGCCCTTGATTGACAAGGCTGGCACTGACAGTGTTTGTAAAGCAGCATTAAGAATAAAATTTGAGCCATCGCTTGCGAACTGTGCTCCGTATTTCATTGGCTCCCTCGCTCCTACGTGTGAAAGTACTGAAGAATTGATTACAGGGTGGCAGGGCTGAAGAAGACTGCAGACACGATAATGTGTCGAAATTTAGCCGGGACTCACCCCCTTTTGTGTCAGAAAACCCTTATTATAGATGTGACTGTGAAGAAAACACAAGTGAAGATCATGTGGCATTTACCCCAATCAGACGGAGGGTAAATCCGTAGATCCGAACAAGGAGCACTAGTTTGAACCGTTGTCCCACTTTGGACCTGTGCACGAGTTGGAACTTGGCATCTACTTAGTCTGTCCCAAATACCAACAAGTGGCCCTTTCACTGTGTGCTTGGTCGCCATGTCCAGATCCTAGTTGGGAAGCATTTCTTGCCCAATAATGAGAGAAATGCAGGCATATATGGCGGAGATTGGTTGCTGGGTTCTTGAAATTTGCATGTCAGTTCAAAATCAAAATCAACTCATTGTGGACTACACATACACAACCGCTCGCCTGCCTAGCCAGCCTAGATACTTTCTCCAAGGTTCAAAACATAGAAGCTATCTTGATTCTCCCGAATACATCTGTTTATAGCTTGTTCAATATGAAGATGGGTGACTACGAAATTGACCTCGAGACCCTGGCCAACAACCAACGATCGACCCCGGATATATGTGGTGATCCTCTTTGTAGTATTGTTAAATTACCAGGCTTCTTCAGGAACTCTTAGCCCGAGTATTTGCGAGTGAAAAATGGAAACCGAAATGAATAACGTTGCTTATGAAATCCATTAAAGTATGAATGAATCCTTCGTCGAAAAGGCCTTTAAACTATTCTCTCCGATGTCTTTCAACATGTTATGACCTTCCTGCAAACCCCGAATTTGTTCACCGGTTCTCTGAGCGGCGCAAGCTTTACCAAGAAGCATCCTGAGCGTCTCGTTCGATGCAGTAACCTGAGAGATAGCTTGGCATTTTTTCTCACATGGAGCAATCAATGCTTTGGATTCTCCGGGATATCCGACAAATGCTCCAATGACAGTACTACTATAGACATGAAAGAAGCCTTTGGATTGGTTAGCATGCGCTCATCTTGTTGATTACGAAGGCGGCGAATGGGAAAATCAATACGCGGATTCTATATAAAAAAAAGTTACTTCCTTCGCCAGTCCTTCAAACATTCCTAGATATCTTGTCAGACAAGGTAGTGACACTCGATTAAAGACGCACAATACCTTTCAGGGACCACCCAGAAGCTCCTTCTCATATATGGAAAATAGCTTTCATGATCCCCTGGAAGAACCGAAAAAGGTGGTCACAATTGCAGATTGAGCTTCTCTGTAACAGCATAATGATCAGTGGACTAGATAGTTCAAACATTAGATTTTAGCCATCCTCATAGCTTTTGACGTACCTAGAATTCTAACCGCCACATGGTTGGCTGAATTGTTGACCTTCACGTAGGTTACGCAAACTATTTCAACCGATTTGTTAAATTGATATCAAAGATCTACCATATAGCGGCACCAAGCTTCTAGGCTTTCTGGATAGGGTCCGAATTATTGAATGGACTGCGAGATGTAGCAGTCATTTTGTGTGCAGCCTTAAGTGCTATCAAGCAGTTTTGAACAACCTTTGGTAAGTACGAAATCAGGAAGTAGAGCTCGCTGTGGTCATAAATGATTGAGGAGCAAGAATAGTTGAGGAATTTAGATTTAGCGGTGCACCGCCTGCGAGGCACTCCCTTTGAGTCGCTTGCATTAACAGACAGGAGAGTTGATAGGTGACAATACGAGTAAGAACTCAAGCAACACGCCGGCACTTGCAGCAGATGAGGAGGGAATCTGCAGGCAATGTAATTCAATCCACAGCTTGAATCAAAAAATCAAGAAAAAATCAACAATTGAATGCAACATATAGCCTGGTTATGGAAGAGATAGCATAAATACAATCGCCTGGTTCATAGGAGATTTTTATACTGTTGTTCTTCTTTCTGCTTCTCGGAATATAGATGTAGATATTTACCTTAAACATCGTATATCCTCTATAATACAACGTTTAGACAATTGAATCTCCATATGAGTCGTTCATTCGTGGCATAATCATGACGGGCCCTTATGCGCCGAACTTTGACTCCTTGTATGGGTATCTAACTTCGTCATCCTTCCTCATCCATAATTGCTTCTTCTTCTTGGTTACGACATGTTCACCCCAAACTTGCTTCGCATGTTGCTTCATGAACTTCCTAATAAATCTAGGGTCCCAAAGCTCACTAGCTACTCCGAGGTCCTTGCAGCAGCGCATTAAGGCATTCGATTTGCATCCTTCGGTGGCGGTTGGAATTCCTTCGGGGGAGAAATAGTCTTGTTCACCACGGGCCACGGATACTAATCTGCAAAGAAGAACATTAGCTGTGCTCACTTCAATGATAGTAATGACCCCCAAAGACTTACCGTCCATGAGCAACGAGAGCATATTCTCTTGTGATACTCTTCTGCGTAACAATTGTTTCCCCTCTTGGTGCCAAACCCCATCCACCAGGTCCAAACGCCCTATTTAATATTCTTCGATATTTGATTTCTGGCAAGTATATAATACCATCTGGCTTGACCTCCACATCATCGGCAGGGATTGGTGCAAGTAAAATATCTGCAGCTTCTTTGGAAAATGGCTGCGACGATAAACCGTGGAATGATCTTGCCCAGTCGACCTGTCTAGCTCCCTCATCCAAGATCAGTGGTCCATCTGCAAGTCCCTCAGTCATATCTGTGATGGGTGATTGAGCATCTATGACATTTTCTGGCTCCTTGGGTTTGGCCGCAGGGGTTGCATAGCTTGTGGGAGGCTTCGTTGCAGTCGTCGTTCTTGGTGTGTAGCTCGAACCTGGAATCGCCGCATTTCGAAAGTTTTGAGAGAAGTGTCTTGATTGACAAGTCAAACTTGTAATTTTTGATGCTGCTGAGAATCTTGATACCGATGTCGCTGCATCAGTAACTATTGAGCGTGAAGCTCTAGGTATAAATGCTGCCATGTCGATGTGTGAGGAAAAGATGTTTGTTCTTGGTGGACGCGATTATTCTGTGTTCACAAAAATGTGGCGCGCTTCAGAGGACGACCAATTTTCGTTCAAAAATTGATTTTCAACTACATCAGACAACAACCGAGTAAATTCAATTACAAAACCACTTAATGTGAACTTATGCTGTTACTTCTCGTGATGTGAATTTTGTTGTCTACAACAATGTACAGCTGGCTCTCGCAAACCATATTCATCAAATTCATACAATTATTCTACCCCTCATGTCCTCGATGATCTCTCCAGTCAATCTTTCCACCCATGCAATATCCATGACATATCACGCATCCTTCGTTGATGTCCTCTGATCATTTTGATGCTTCTTCCAACATTTCTTAAAAGTATCAAGCTGCATATTCATGAGACGTCAGCCATGCTATCGCCGGCTCAATTGAGTCCCCACGTGATTTAACGCTAAGAGGAGCTTCCTCATACCTCTGCTTTGCACAGTCTCCAGTCTTTCTTTTCAAAATAGCAATCAGTCATTTTCGAGTTCTCTTCTGCGGGTTGATTCAGCGTCCATCTCTTCATTCTCTATTGCTGATTGATCGAGAGATCTTGACTTACCCGCACATCCAGTGCTAAAGATTCGTTTGTCCCTGCCAATTTGAGTCAGTGATCAGACCCGAGTTGTTGAGGTCAACAGATTTTACCATTCATCAGGCTCATCATCACCCTGGACATCCGTCGCAACGGGGGGGTTCTCTCCTGATTGATTTGACATTTTTGGGGTGCTGTGTGTTCTTCACGGTGGAATTTGGAGAATTACAATAGCTCTTGGAGAACGTCGAACAGGAGTTTTTGCTGTTGGTAGAGCCTCGGTTGTGGCCCAGTGACTAATATTTGAGTCGAGGAAAAATGGTTCCAAGAAAGATGGACGTCCTGGTCTACTCAGGTATACTGAATCAACAGTTTTTTGAGACTCATTCTAAGTTTTTTGATAGGCAATGGGAGTACAATTGAATCCGTCCGCCACTGTCTTTATACATTACGGCGTTTGCTATCGCCAAGTTACGCAGTGATTCCTGTTAGTGATAATATCATTCTGAAAGAGCCTTGGACCGCTTCTTGTGCTCTTCTTGTATTCCCAGGGGGTGCAGACCAAGGATACTGCCGTTCCCTCAATGGAGAAGGCAATAGACGTATCTCACAGTATGTGCGTAGAGGTGGTGCCTATCTTGGATTTTGTGCCGGAGGCTACTATGGTACCTCAAGATGTGAGTTCGAGGTCGGCAATAAAAAGCTCGAGGTTGTTGCGCCACGAGAACTACAGTTCTATCCAGGCACCTGTAGAGGGTGTGCTTACAAAGGGTTTGTGTACCACAGTGAAGCGGGTGCAAAGGCTGCAGAGGTCAAGATTGAGGGCTCGCTTCAAAATGGAAATGCTTCTCAAAGTTTTAAATCATATTACAATGGTGGGGGTGTTTTCGTCGATGCAGGAAAGTTCAAAGATCAAGGGGTGGAAACGCTTGCTACCTATGTGTATCCTATTGATGTTGATGGCGGAGAAGGTCCCGCAGCGGTC